GTGTATATATAAGGCTATAGTTTCCCCCCCGCCATTAAAAGAACAGAATATTTACAACAGGAAGGCGGAGGTTTGGGTGCGGAGGTCGTCAGTACGAGTCAGGATGACGCGGTGCGAGTCAAGAGACAAGCAACCAGCTCTTCCGGGCTGTTCGACCGTAAGTATTCACAAAATATTTCCCATTGAGCTTAACCCCAAAGCTGCTGGGTACGACTGATTGCCAAAAATAAACATCCATGTACATGTATGTTCAAGAACTATAAAGCCCAATGTGACGTTTTTTTTACATTCCTCCAAAGTCAGTCTATTCAATTAGTGCAGCATTAAACGCAGAGGCTGGCTGTGCTTGCTGTGTAATTGGTCTGTCCTTCATGATGTGATGAAAAATTGAACATGCCTTTTCTCAGGCTGCGCTCAAGGTCCCCCTGGGCGAGACGGACGGGATGGGTCTGCCGGACAGCCTGGACAGGACGGACAGCCCGGGACGGTGGGACAACCCGGGACGGCGGGACAGCCCGGGACGGACGGACAGCCCGGGACGGACGGACAGCCCGGGACGGACGGACAGCCCGGGACAGCCCGGGACAGCGGGACAGCCCGGGCGGGACGGACGGGATGGCATTCAAGGTGTGGCTGGACCAGCGGGACCTGTTGGCTTACAGGTTTGCAAATCGGTGTTTTTTTGTGTTTATTTATCACTAAATGGTCGTTATCATTATATATAAATATTTAAGTTACCAGAAACGCCAAGATCTGTGGAAACATGTATATCGTTCATCATTCTGTTGTCCTGACATGATTTCCATGTACATGTATATTCTCACCATGGCAGGGTCCAGCCGGGGACAAGGGAGACACAGGACCGCCGGGAAGAGACGGGGAGCCAGGCGCAGGTGACAACTTTTTCTTCCTTGTCAATCAAATATATTCTTACTACTTTCAGGTTTTGCCTTCCTTGATCCATATATAAACGTTTGATTATGTAAAGATTTGATATCAGATGGTTATTGTTACATTACTTCACGTGCTGCTTCTTTATCATTAAAATGTCTTCAGGAGGAAGTGTGTACATCCGATGGGGGAGGAAGACTTGCGCTGATAACGGCGGAGCAGAGTTGGTGTACTCGGGTGAAGATGTCTTTGTTCAAGGACATTATATAATGTCCTTATGCAGCAAGTTTAAACTGTAATTTCCAACACAAGAAATTGGACTCACCCAAATTTTCGACTGTACAACTCCAGTCTTTGTCAAGGAATGAACAATCCACCGCTTCCGTGACGTCACGCAGATAACACACGTGACTTCGTGAGCAGTGGATTATAGGTTGCAGAAAGTCTGTGGCGCCCCCCGTCTCTGTCGACGGATGGTTGTAATGCCCTGATGTAGATGGCCACTTCAATCCCTCGTGCAAAGAAGTCCGGTTCTGAGTCCAGGATTCTTACTTTGTCCAGTGAGACTGAATGGCCAGGCGATTCTATGTGTATATGTTGTGAGACCTCCGAGGTAGTCGAGCTAGGTCGTTTGTATTCTAAGAACCTAGCCTTGAGGGATCTTTCCGTCTCTCCAATATAGGTTTCCTTACACGGGCCCTTGGAGGTCTGTCCTTGACACTGTATGTGGTAAACTACCCCACACTTGCTTTCCTTTGGTGTTTTGTCCTTAGGTGCGACCAGTATATTCCGGAGGGTTCAAGTTGGTCTAAAACAGGTCTTAATCCCATGTGCAGCAAAATCCTACGTATACTGAGCCCTTCACTAAGGCCTTTCCTGTAAGGCAGAACAACTAGGCCTCTATTTGGGCTTTTGTTCTTGCTCTGATACTGGTTACTGTCTGTGAGCTTTTGTCTATTGGCCTTGTCACGGAGTCACGTGTTATCTGCGTGACGTCACGGAAGCGGTGGATTGTTCATTCCTTGACAAAGACTGGAGTTGTACAGTCGAAAATTTGGATGAGTCCAATTTCTTGTGTTGGAATTACAGTTTAAACTTGCTGCATAATGACTTCTACCAACACATATGAACTTTCAAGATAATATAATGTCCTTGCTTTGTAAAAAATAAACGACTTGCGTGGTGCTACATTTTCGTAGCTTTCTTGCGGTGCCAGTGCGTTATTCTATGATAACAAATTTGACAAAGGTTTTGACTATTTCTATAGACTCTTAAGACTGGGAAACCTTGTATGATTTCAGGTGTGGCAGGAGGTACACATTACACAGAGACAGGCGGCGGGACCAACTACCAGTGTCTGCCGACCGACCCACAGTGGGGACGGTACCAAGATGGAGTCCAGGGGATCAAGGCTTACATGTACGGCGCTGAGTACGAGTTGAACACAAACGTCCCGTTCGGCTCCACCTCCCTCACGATAACGACGTCCCGTGTGCGGTCTGCTACGTCCCAACCCGCGGCAGTAAGTTAATGATCCCCGCCCGTAGCGTAACACCTGTTATAGCGGCTGGACCCGCGAGTACCATGGTTACCTCATGGCTTCACACTACAACCACCCCGGGTCTAAAGAGTTCGTTTGTGTAGATGAACAGCCAGAGGTGATACAGGGCGGTGACTACGACCGGAACGGAGCGCTGTTCTACCCCGTGGAACGCCCGCTGTCGGGTCCCCTCCCGTCGTCCCCAATACGCGGAAGGGAGGGAACTCACCTGTGTCGTCTGCACAATGTAGACCATTGTTACTGTACTTAGCCAAGGACGTTCCTTGACTTAGCGTAGTGAGTATTCTTTGTACAATGAAGGTTTTTATTTCATTAATGACACGTCTATTCTGTGAATTAGTAAGAAGTTTATTGAAAATTCGTGCCCGGGGGCTAATTGCAAATTACAAACATAAAAGAACAATGAAACAGAGTATAAAATAATTAAAATCTACATGTTAAAATGTAGTTGTCTAGAGCTATAGCTATGTCTAAGACTATATCTAAGGCGTTTGACTTCTCCTTTTTAGACCATGGCAGACGTAATGTCCCACCTTTTCCAAAATTAGTGGGTTTTGGGAAGTTAAAAGAAGAATAGTTTTTTCTTTGTCTGTAAGTTTAGTAAAATTGGGGTAAATTGTAGAAGTTTGGATAGTCAACTCATTTCGAGCGTTGCTATGAAAGGAACAGTTTGAGATAAAGTGTATTTCGTCTTCCACAGCCTTTGCACTACAATATTTACAAATTCTTTCATATACAGGTAGCCTTCTGTACCGGCCTCTCTCTATTTCCAGAAGATGGGCGCTAACTCTAATTTTGCTAATGGCTGAACGTAGTTCGAAATCTGCAAGATTAAGACATGGTTGTACATGGTTTTACATTAGTGTCATTATTGTGCTTCCTAGAAAGAAGATCTTCGCATCATTTTATTTGGACTGTCCGTCCTTGTTAGGCTAAATACACTTATTGACTGTGACGGTTATCAAGTTATATTCCTTTTGGGAAAGGATTGGCGTGATTGTGTACTTGGCCCTTATGTGGATAGAGGATATTACAAGAGAGACTTTGACATCGTTGCGNACAGCCCGGGACGGACGGACAGCCCGGGACGGTAGGACAGCCCGGGACGGACGGACAACCCCGGGACGGCGGGACAGCCCGGGCGGGACGGACGGGATGCCATTCAAGGTGTGGCTGGACCAGCGGGACCTGTCGGCTTACAGGTTTGCAAATCGCTGTTTTTTTGTTTGTTTATCAGTAAATTGTCGTTATCATTATATATAAATATTTAAGTTACCAGAAACGCCAAGATCTGTAGAAACATGTATATCGCTCATCATCCTGTTGTCCTGACACGGTTTTCATGTATATCCTCACCATGACAGGGTCCACCCGGGGACAAGGGAGACACAGGACCGCCGGGAAGAGACGGGGAGCCAGGCGCAGGTAACAACATTTTCATCTTTGTGAATGTGAACGTTTGATTATGTAAAGATTTGATATCAGATGGTTATTGTTACATTGCTTCACGTGCTGCTTCTTTATCATCAATGTCTTCAGGAGGAAGTGTGTACATCCGATGGGGGAGGAAGACTTGTGCTGATAACGGCGGAGCAGAGTTGGTGTACTCGGGTAAGATGTATTTGTTCAAGGACATTATATAATGTCCTTGCTTTGTTGAATATAAACGACTTGCGTGGTGCAACATTTTCTTGGCTTTCTTGCGGAGCCAGTGCGTTATTCCATAACAAATTAGACAACTTGACAAAGCTTTTGACTATGTCTGTGGACTCTTAAGACTGGGAAACCTTGTATGATTTCAGGTGTTGCGGGAGGCACACATTACAACGAACCAGGCGGCGGGACCAACTACCAGTGTCTGCCGACCGACCCACAGTGGGGACGGTACCAAGATGGAGTCCAAGGGGCCAAGGCTTACATATACGGCGCAGAGTACCAGTTGCACTCTAACGTCCCGTTCGGCTCCACCCTTCTTGATGACAACGTCCCGTGTGCGGTCTGCTACGTCCCAACCCGCGGCAGTAAGTTAATGATCCCCGCCCGTAACACCTGTTATAGCGGCTGGACACGCGAGTACCATGGCTACCTCATGGCTGAAAAATTTGACCACCCCGGGTCTAAAGAGTACGTCTGTGTGGATGAACAGCCAGAAGTGATACAAGGCGGACAGGCAGACCAGAACGGAGCACTGTTCTACCCCGTGGAAGCCCGCTGTGGTTCCCTGCCGTGTCCCAACTACGTGGACGGGAGGGAACTCACCTGTGTCGTCTGCACGAAGTAAACCATTGTTACTGTACTTAGCGTAGTGAGTATTCTTTGTACAATGAAGGTCTTTATCTCACTAATGACACGTCCATTCTGTGAATTAGTGTCATTATTGTCGTTCCTATAGCTAGAAAGGAAATCTTCGCATCATTTTATTTGGACTGTCCGTCCTTGTCAGCCTAAATACACTTCATTGGCTGTGGCGGTTATCAAGTTATCTTCCTTCTGGGAAAGGATTGGCGTGATTGTGTACTTGCCCTTATGTTGATAGAGGATATTACAAGAGAGACTTTGACATCGATGAGAATAAAAAGTACGACTTTGTGTAGACTTTATGAGGAATGTCAAATATCGTGTTGTTGTGTTGGTGAAGGTTAATCATCCAGGATATAAAGATAAATTGATAAAGCCGTTGAATCCTTTCTAACTGGATAAATTGAAATTCTAATACGTAAACGTTTCAAGTACCATCCGGTACCCTTCATCAGTACAAATGTAGAGGAAATTTCCGGAACAGAAATAGAGTTCTAAATAAACTTAAACATGTATTGTTTTTGTTTATTTATAACTTTATTTTCTTCCGAAAATTTCCTCTACATTTGTACTGATGAAGGGTACCGGATGGTACTTATAAAACGTTTACGTATTAAAATTTCAATTTATCCAGTTAGAAAAGATTCAACGGCTTTATCAATTCATCGTGTTGTTGTGTTTTGTTGGACACAAACTAGCTGCTGTAACCATAGATACATGCGTAAATTTTCTGTTAGAGGTCAACTTCCTGTGCTTGCAAGTGTTTCTCTGCCTGTCTTGTTTTGTTTTGTATCTACTATTTACTGTCACATAGTAAATATTCCGAGTCTCCTTCTGAGACTTCAGGATAACGCGTAACACTCGAGGTAGTACCTCAGATTCTGACATGTACTATAGGATCTTTTGAGAAAGAAAAATGTAAAAGAAATATACACACTGTACCCCATTTCTTATTGATTTGTGAGCCTTTGTATTGTTTTTGTTCTGTCTGTAAGTCTCGGTAGTGTTATTACCACAGCGCCTTTTTGAACCCGATAGAACGTTGACCTTTAAGACACGCAGGTTGCGCAACAAGTATGTTTGCCTATTCACCTTTCTTCATAGATCGGGAGGAGGTATTCTGTTAATCACGTTCTGACCAATGAGAATGTGTGATGGTGACGTCAGCAGAAAAAAGCATTTTTCCCAGCGACGTTTTCTTCTAGGAACTTTTGTACAACGGTTGGGTAAAGCCTGTAAACATGCCATATCAACTTACAGGAAGTAAAAACACTGAACCAATGAGAACCAAGCATGATAACGTAAGAAGTCCTAAAATAAACTTGGTAAGTGCTTAGCATAAAAGTTTCATAATTGGTTCATATGTTTTTCTCGAAAGTTTAGTTCCTTGTGGTGAGTCTACAACTGCGAGCATTCGGAACTCAGAGCGACTTGGTAAACGTTCAACGGTCGTGGACAAAGTTTTCATAGCCTAAAAAGTGCGACAACATGACTGCGGAGATGCAGAGCCCGTTCCTGTCCGGTGGACCGACCCGCCGGGACCGTCTCCCCGTGTTGGTCGGGCCGCTGGTCGGCGTCCTGGCCGCCCTGGTGTGCGGGATCAGCGTGCTGACGGGGGTGGTGGTGGTGCACAACATGCAGCAGGACCTTACAGGTGTGAAGCGGGAGTTATCAGTCCTGCAGACCGAGAACACCGGACTGAGGGAGCGGCTGGTGGCGGTGGAGAACCTGCTGGATAGTACCCTTGCTGGACACGACCAGCGAATTGTTGACGAGTCGGAGGTATGTTTCTATACTTATGTATTTATTCAAATTTAACGTTAATTTACATGCATCTCTTGTCTTTCTCTTCTTTCTAAGCGGCATCCAAGCTAAATTTCTTTTCGTGAATGACTCTCTTGCACCTAAAGAAGAATAGATAAAGAGTAGCAGATTATAGTGTATATATACAAGGCTATAGTTTCCCCCCGCCATTAAAACAACAGAATATTTACAACAGGAAGGTGAAGGTTTGGGTGTGGAGGTCATCAGTACGAGTCAGGATGACGCGGTGCGAGTCAAGAGACAAGCAATCAGCTCTTCCGGGCTGTTCGACCGTAAGTATTCACAAAGTATTTCCCCTTGAGCTTAACCCCAAAGCTGCTACATATACGTACGATTGATCATCAGTGCCAAAAATAAACATCCATGTACGTTCAATAATAGCTCAATGTGAGTTTTTTTTTAAATTCCTCCAGAGTCAGTCTATTCAATTAGTGCAGCATTAAACGCAGAGCCTGGCTGTACTTGCAGTGTGATTGGTCTGTCCTTCATGATATGATGAAAAATTGAACATGCCTTTTCTCAGGCTGCGCTCAAGGTCCCCCTGGGCGAGACGGACGGGATGGGCCAGCCGGGCAGCCTGGACGGGACGGACAGCCCGGGACAGTGGGACAACCCGGGACGGACGGACAGCCCGGGACGGACGGACAGCCCGGGACGGACGGACAACCCGGGCGGGACGGACGGGATGGCATTCAAGCTGTGGCTGGACCGGCGGGACCTGTCGGCTTACAGGTTTGCAAATCGTTGTTTTTTTGTTTGTTTATCACTAAATGGTCCTTATCATTATATATAAATATTTAAGTTACCAGAAATGCCAAGACCTGTGGAAACATGTATATCGCTCATCATCCTGTTGTCCTGACACGGTTTTCATGTATATCCTCACCATGGCAGGGTCCAGCCGGGGACAGAGGAGACACAGGACCGCCGGGAAGAGACGGGGCACCAGGCGCAGGTAACAACTTTTTCATTCTTGTCAATGAAATATATTCTTACTAATTTCACGCTCCTTGATCCATATATAAACGTTTGATTATATTTAATTATGTAAAGATTTGATATCAGATGGTTATTGTTACATTGCTTCACGTGCTGCTTCTTTATCATCAATGTCTTCAGGAGGAAGTGTGTACATCCGATGGGGGAGGAAGACTTGCACTGATAGCGGCGGAGCAGAGTTGGTGTACTCGGGTAATGTTCAAGGACATTATGTAATGTCCGGATCCTTATGCAGCTAGTTTAAACTGTAATTTCCAACACAAGAAATTGGACTCACCCCAATTTTCGACAACTCCAGTCTTGTCAAGGAATGAACAATCCACCGCTTCCGTGACGTCACGCAGATAACACACGTGACTCCGTTAGCAGTGGATCATAGGTTGCAGAAAGTCTGTGGCGCCCCCCGTCTCTGTTGAGGGATGGTTGTAATGCCCTGATGTAGATGGCCTCTTTAATCCCTCGTGCAAAGAAATCCGGTTCTGAGTCCAGGATTCTTACTTTGTCCAGTGAGACTGAATGGCCAGGCGATTCTATGTGTATATGTTGTGAGACCTCCGAGGTAGTCGAGCTAGGTCGTTTGTATTCTAAGAACCTAGCCTTGAGGGATCTTTCCGTCTCTCCAATATAGGTTTCCTTACACGGGCCCTTGGAGGTCTGTCCTTGACACTGTATATGGTAAACTACCCCACACTTGCTTTCCTTTGGTGTTTTGTCCTTAGGTGCGACCAGTATATTCCGGAAGGTTCAAGTTGGTCTAAAACAGGTCTTAATCCCATGTGCAGCAAAAATCCTCCTGAGCCCTTCACTAAGGCCTTTCCTGTAAGGCAGAACAACTAGGCCTCTATTTGAGCTTTTGTTCTTGCTCTGATACTGGTTACTGCCTGTGAGCTTTTGTCTATTGGCCTTGTCACGGAGTCACGTGTTATCTGCGTGACGTCACGGAAGCGGTGGATTGCTCATTCCTTGACAAAGACTGGAGTTGTACAGTCGAAAATTTGGATGAGTCCAATTTCTTGTGTTGGAATTACAGTTTAAACTTGCTGCATAATGACTTCTACCAGCACATATGAACTTTCAAGATAATATAATGTCCTTGCTTTGTTAAAAATAAACGACTTGCGTGGTGCTACATTTTCGTAGCTTTCTTGCGGTGCCAGTGCGTTATTCTATGATAACAGATTTGACAAAGGTTTTGACTATTTCTATAGACTCTTAAGACTGGGAAACCTTGTATGATTTCAGGTGTGGCAGGAGGTACACATTACACAGAGACAGGCGGTGGGACCAACTACCAGTGTCTGCCGACCGACCCACAGTGGGGACGGTACCTAGATGGAGTCCAGGGGATCAAGGCTTACATGTACGGCGCTGAGTACGAGTTGAACACAAACGTTCCGTTCGGCTCCACCCTTTTCAATAACGACGTCCCGTGTGCGGTCTGCTACGTCCCAACCCGCGGCAGTAAGTTAATGATCCCCGCCCGTAACACCTGTTATAGCGGCTGGACCCGCGAGTACCATGGTTACCTCATGGCTGGAAAATACAACCACCCCGGGTCTAAAGAGTACGTCTGTGTGGATGAACAGCCAGAGGTGATACAGGGCGGTGACTACGACCGGAACGGAGCGCTGTTCTACCCCGTGGAAGCCCGCTGTGGGTCCCTGCCGTGTCCCCGCTACGTGGAAGGGAGGGAACTCACCTGTGTCGTCTGCACAAAGTAGACCATTGTTACTGTACTTAGCCAAGGACGTTCCTTGACTTAGCGTAGTGAGTATTCTTTGTACAATGAAGGTCTTTATTTCATTAATGACACGTCTATTCTGTGAATTAGTAAGAAGTTTATTGAAAATTCGTGCCCGTGGGCTAATTGCAAATTACAAACATAAAAGAACAATGAAACAGAGTATAAAATAATTAAAATCTACATGTTAAAATGTAGTTGTCTAGAGCTATAGCTATGTCTAAGACTATATCTAAGGCGTTTGACTTCTCCTTTTTAGACCATGGCAGACGTAATGTCTCACCTTTTCCAAAATTCGTGGGTTTTGGGAAGTTAAAAGAAGAATGTTTTTTCTTTGTCTGTAAGTTTAGTAAAATTGGGGTAAATTGTAGAAGTTTGGATAGTCAACTCATTTCGAGCGTTGCTATGAAAGGAACAGTTTGAGATAAAGTGTATTTCGTCTTCCACAGCCTTTGCACTACAATATTTACAAATTCTTTCATATACAGGTAGCCTTCTGTACCGGCCTCTCTCTATTTCCAGAAGATGGGCGCTAACTCTAATTTTGCTAATGGCTGAACGTAGTTCGAAATCTGCAAGATTAAGACATGGTTGTACATGGTTTTACATTAGTGTCATTATTGTGCTTCCTAGAAAGAAGATCTTCGCATCATTTTATTTGGACTGTCCGTCCTTGTTAGGCTAAATACACTTATTGACTGTGACGGTTATCAAGTTATATTCCTTTTGGGAAAGGATTGGCGTGATTGTGTACTTGGCCCTTATGTGGATAGAGGATATTACAAGAGAGACTTTGACATCGTTGCGAATAAAAAGTACGACTTTGTATAGACTTCATGAGGAATGTCAAATATCGTGTTGTTGTGTTCTGTTAACATGTTGGACACATACTAGCTGCTGTAATCATGGATACATGCTTTAGATAAATCAATATTTTCTGTTAGATGTCAATTTCCTGTGCTTGCAAGTGTTTCTCTGCCTGTCTTGTTTTGTTTTGTATCTACTACTTACTGTCACATAGTAAATATTCCTGTCACATATTACTTTCACATAGTAAATATTCTGAGTCTCATTCTGAGACTTCAGGAGAACGCGTGACGCTCTAGGTTTACCTCAGATTCTGACATGTACTATAGGATCTTTTGTAAAAGAAAAATGTAAAACAAATATTCACACTATACCCCATTTATTATATTGATTTGTGAGCCTTTGTATTGTTTTTGTTCTGTCCGTAAGTCTTGGTAGTGTTATTACCACAGCGCCTTTTTGAACCCGATAGAACGTTGACCTTAAAGACACGCAAGTTGCTCAACAAGTATGCTTGCCTATTCACCTTTCTTCATAGACCGGGGCGAGGTAAGCTGTCAATGACGTTCTGACCAATGAGAATGTGTGATGGTGACGTCAGCGGAAAAAGCATTTTTCGCAGCGACGTTTTCTTTTGTACAAACGTTGAGTAAAGCCTGTAAACATGCCATATCAACTTACAGGAAGTAAAAACTCTGAACCAATGAGAACCAAGCATGATACGTAAGATGTCCTAAAATAAAACTTGGTTCGTGTTGTTTTTCTTGACAGTTTAGTTCCTTGTGAGTCTACAACTGCGAGCATTTAGAACTCGGAGTGACTTGGTAAACGTTCAACGGTCGTGGACAAACTTTTCATAGCCTAAAAAGTGCGACAACATGACTGCGGAGATGCAGAGCCCGTTCCTGTCCGGTGGGCCCCGCCGGGACCGTCTCCCCGTGTTGGTCGGGCCGCTGGTCGGCGTCCTGGCCGCCCTGGTGTGCGGGATCAGCGTGCTGACGGGGGTGGTGGTGGTGCACAACATGCAGCAGGAGCTGACAGGTGTGAAGCGGGAGTTATCAGTCCTGCAGACCGAGAACACCGGACTGAGGGAGCGGCTGGTGGCGGTGGAGAACCTCCTGGATGGCGCCCTCGCTGGGCACGACCGGCCGCGAACTGTTGACGAGCCGGAGGTATGTTTCTAAACCTATGTATTTATTCAAATTGGACGTTAATTTACATGCATCTCTTGTCTTTCTCTTCTTTCTAAGCGGCATCCAAGCTAAATCTCTTTTCGTGAGTGCCTCTCTTGCACCTAATGAAGAATAGATAAAGAGTAGCAGATTATAGAGTATATATACAAGGCTATAGTTCCCCCCGCCATTAAAAGAACAGAATGTTTACAACAGGAAGGTGGAGGTTTGGGTGCGGAGGTCGTCAGTACGAGTCAGAATGACGCGGTGCGAGTCAAGAGACAAGCAATCAGCTCTTCCGGGCTGTTCGACCGTAAGTATTCACAAAGTATTTCCCCTTGAGCTTAACCCCAAAGCTGCTACGTACGATTGATTGCCAAAAATAAACACCCATGTATGTGCAAGAATAGCTCAATTGCAATGTGACGTTTTTTTTTTACATTTCTCCAGAGTCAGTCTATTCAATTAGTGCAGCATTAAACGCAGAGGCTGGCTGTGCTTGCAGTGTGATTGGTCTGTCCTTCATGATATGATGAAAAATTGAACATGCCGTTTCTCAGGTTGCGCTCAAGGTCCCCCTGGGCGAGACGGACGGGATGGGCCAGCCGGACAGCCTGGACGGGACGGACAGCCCGGGACGTGGGGACAACCCGGGACGGATGGGCAACCCGGGACAGCGGGGCAACCCGGGACGGACGGTCACCCCGGGACGGACGGACAGCCCGGGCGGGACGGACAGGATGGCATTCAAGGTGTGGCTGGACCAGCGGGACCTGTCGGCTTACAGGTTTGTTTTTTGTTTGTTTTAATATCACTAAATGTTCGTTATCATTATATATAAATATTTAAGTTACCAGAAACGCCAAGATCTGTGGAAACATGTATATATCTCATCCTCCTGTTGTCCTGACACGCGTACGGTTTTCCATGTATATCCTCACCATGGCAGGGTCCAGCCGGGGACAAGGGAGACACAGGACCACCGGGAAGAGACGGGGCGCCAGGCGCAGGTGACAACTTTTTCATCTTTGTCAATGTAAACGTTTGATTATGTAAAGATTTGATATCAGATGGTTATTGTTACATTACTTCACGTGCTGCTTCTTTATCATCAATGTCTTCAGGAGGAAGTGTGTACATCCGATGGGGGAGGAAGACTTGCGCTGATAACGGCGGAGCAGAGTTGGTGTACTCGGGTAAGATGTCTTTGTTCAAGGACATTATATAATGTCCATGCTTTGTTAAATATAAACGACTTGCGTGGTGCTACATTTTCTTAGCTTTCTTGCGGTGCCAGTGCGTTATTCTATAACAAATTTGACAATTTGACAAAGGTTTTGACTATTTCTGTAGACTCTTAAGTCTAGAGAAACCTTGTATGATTTCAGGTGTTGCGGGAGGCACACATTACACTCAGCCAGGCGGCGGGACCAACTACCAGTGTCTGCCGACCGACCCACAGTGGGGACTGTACCAAGATGGAGTCCACGAGAGCAGGGCTTACATGTACGGCGCTGAGTACGAGTTGACCACAAACGTCCCGTTCGGCTCCACCTCCCTTCACGATAACGACGTCCCGTGTGCGGTCTGCTATGTCCCAACCCGCGGCAGTAAGTTAATGATCCCCGCCCGTAACACCTGTTATAGCGGCTGGACCCGCGAGTACCATGGTTACCTCATGGCTGAACACCACAACCACGCCGGGTCTACAGAGTACGTCTGTGTGGATGAACAGCCTGAGTCCCTACCTGGCGGACACGCCAACCATGACGGAGCGCTGTTCTACCCCGTGGAAGCCCGCTGTGGGTCCCTCCCTTGTCCCCGCTACGTGGAAGGGAGGGAACTCACCTGTGTCGTCTGCACAAAGTAGACCATTAGTGACACATCCATTCTGTTATCACTTTTCTTCTTTAATGATTTGGCTACAAGCACACAAGCGTGTGTAACCGCAATGTAATATTCTTTGAAGTTATGCAGATATCAGAAAGCTTAGAACTTTTTTTGTGATTTCTTATGATTTGACTACACTTGCCTCATAAGTTAAGTATAACTAGAAAGGCCAATATTTGCTTTGGAGCAAATACAGCGATGGGTTCACCACATACGTACATTTTACGACATGGCAGGGAAAGAATGAGAAACACAAGGGAAAACAATGATTTACATTGATATAACTATAATATGAAGTAACATACGACTAAAACAACAGTTGGATAGCTATTCCCTACTTTATTGGTTAGGATTTTTAATTGCATAATGCAAACTGTTGATTTTCAAAATAAAAATAACGTTCATGCCCCGCATTCCAATGCTGGAGCAGGAAAGCTTGAAATACCTACCAAAACACTTGAATACAGACATACTGTCAGTATGGAAATGCTCTGTGCAGGTGTTAAGTTAAATCCCAACAGCCAATCAGTAAGAAATGCTCTGTGCAGGTGGAAATGCTCTGTGCAGGTGTTAATCAAGTTAAATCCCAATAGCCAATCAGCAAGAAGAATAGAGGAAAGCTGCATGCCTATTGGTTGATGCCCTGCATTCCATTGTGATGACTCATACCCAAACGTGGTAAACATGGCACACTAACACAGTAATACATTTGCTATAACACAGCCAAAAAACTCAAATAAAACCATTCTAAAAGCCTGTATCACAAAAATTTAAAAAACGCCTAGGGGTATTTGCCCACTGTACCTCCATACCAAATTTCAGGACCTTAGGCCCTAAAATGAAGAAGCTGAATCCATTTAAAAAATGGCAGGAGAAGAAGGAGGAGGAGGAGAAGAAACACCAGAAAAAGCAATATGGTTTCACCTCACCACTTCGTGGTGTGGTGAACCCATAATGAAGTTTCAATCCTGTATATCATAATAGTTTGTTGCTTTGATAGATTTGACATGGCTTCAAGTTGAGATAAAGCGTGACTAGTTGTAAAAGTCAACCGCCTTAAGATGTTGGTATCTAGTTGTATCTTGTGCTGTCGAACTAGACCATGACTGGACAGTCCACATACAGGACTTACTGTGCAGACACGGCTTCCAAAATGTCTGGCTGAACCCAAGGGTTAATGCCAACCAGTTTGGAAGCTTATTCAAGCAACGTTTACAGGATACATTTCTAGTTGGCTGGTGGCAGGAAATAAGAAAATTCAATAAACTTCATACTTATTCTAAAATTAAAAAAACATTTACGGCTTGGAAAAGTATCTATCATCAATTCAAAACGAATCTTTTACGACAAGCATAACTAAAATGAGGATAAGTTCACATGGCCTGGAAATCGAAAAGGGCCGTCATTATAACACACCAGCCGATCAGAGATTGTGTCCGACATGCAAGGAGGGTATTGAAGACGAATTCCACTTTATGATGTCATGTCCAACATATGAAGAAAACAGACAAATATTGATGCAATCCATAGCTTCCAAAACTAATGTTACGCTACCTCACTCAAAATCAGATATCTTTAATACTCTCCTTTCATGTCCTACTCAGATATCAGTGTACGTTGGAAAATTCATATTCGAATCACTACAAAAGCGACACCAGATTGTAAATAGCTGATATATCCCCTGAATTACAGAATGTAATAATACTCTTCCTAAGAAAACACAATAGATTAGCTTTAGTATCATTATGGACTAGCTAGTTAGAATTATATCTTAGCATTAGTTGATGTATGTACCATTGTTGTTTCTTTGCCATACATTGTACCAGCTACAGTTGTTGAGCAATAAAGTTGATGATGTGACGTATTCAGTTCCGTTGGGCATGGCCAATTTCAACTGTGTGTTGTTTTGGTTTTCTCAATAAACAACTAGCAAGGTGTGTGAATTATGATTGAACGTTTCTCATTGTCTACATGTAGTATCCAAGGCATGAATTCGTAAATTTTGAAAAGGTTACCATTTTTTGTGTGTTTGCTTCCGTATCTTATAGCCGGCATAACCGTCCTTCGGCGTAACACACAAGCTGTGTGTGTGTGTGTGTGTGTTTGTGTCTGGGTGTGTGTGTGTGTGTGTGTGGTGTGTGTTTGTGTGTGTGTGTGGTGTGTGTCTGTCTGTCTGTGAGTGTGTCGGTGTGTGTGTGGTGTGTGTGTTTGTGTGTGTCTGTGTGTGTATCTGTTTGTGTGTGTGTGTGTCGGTGTCTGTGTGGGGTGAATGTGTGTGTGTCTGTGTGTGTGTGTGGTGTGTGTGTGTGAAGGAAAAGAGAAAGCTGTATTGTAATTCTGGAGTGGAACTGAGTTGCGGCGTTAAGACCACATATATTCCTGCACCCCCCCCCCCAGCATTGAACGTTGACTTACGAAAGACGATATGCTGTCAATCAAGCCATGTCAATGGAACTTGATGTTGTAAACATACCAATTAACAGGAAAGTAAAGACCCTGAACCAAGTACAATGGCAAGTACTTGTAGAACATGTTACACTTGTTATTCCGACAAACTATTACTTCCTTGACAGTTTGAAATTCAGTGTTCTTGCTCTAGGAGCTTGTTAAAATGACTGCGGAGAAGCAGAGCCCGTTCCTGTCCGGTGGACCGGCCCGCCGGGACCGTCTCCCCGTGTTGGTCGGGCCGCTGGTCGGCGTCCTGGCCGCCCTGGTGTGTGGGATCAGCGTGCTGACGGGGGTGGTGGTGGTGCACAACATGCAGCAGGAGCTGACAGGTGTGAAGCGGGAGTTATCAGTCCTGCAGACCGAGAACACCGGACTGAGGGAGCGGCTGGTGGCGGTGGAGAACCTGCTGGATGCCGGTACTCTTGCTGGGCACGACCGGTCGCGGACTGTTGACGAATCGGAGGTATGTTTCTAAACTTATGTGTTTATTCAAATTTAACGTTAATTTACATGCATCTCTTGTCTTTCTCTTCTTTCCCAGCGACAACCAAGCTAAATCTCTTTTCGTAAGTGCCTCTCCCACACCTTAACACTAATAGATCAAGAGATTATAGT